GTACGAAATATGGGTGAAATCGGTTCACAACCACGCCTTCTTCCAATATAACGCTATTTTGAATTCCATCTGATGCCTTCTCTGTATAATATATACATTAGGAAAGAATGATGATAGCGGAATGAAGCTTTACACAAATACGGTATTTCAGCTGAGGTATCCCTTGTTGAAAAATTGCCGTGATCGAACTATAACTTTTCAATACAATTAAAATAAATGAAAATACAACTCAATACTCAAAGTGCACACCTTGATCTAATCTCATTAATTTTACAACAAATTAAAAAAATATGTAAATGACGGATAATGAAATCTCGATTATCACTTTATYATGCGAGAGTATAAAATGTTCAGTGACACCCGAACTTAGCCCTTCCTTACTTGTTTTTATTTTATTTTGTTGACGGTTACAATGACATTTTATAGATCTTCTTAATTTATGTTTCTAAAGGCTCTGTTACATTATTTTGAAGTTGAAGCTTATTACGCTCGTCTGTATTTTTTCGATTCATGACTATGTTTTGGCCTAAGTTTCATTCAACTCTTTCGAGAACAACGGATTTGTACCTTCTTTAGAAACAATGAGGTGTTCCAACACACTTTAAAATTATACTTGTTTTATAGAATATTTTTTATATAATCTCTATCTATTTAAATTGCTTTGTAATTCTGAACACTCTGATGTACTATATGCGTCACTTATCTTCGTATTAGCGCATCATCTGAAAAATAAATTAACAGTATATTACAATCGGGGGAAAGGCTAAGTCGGTTGTTATCAAACATTTTATACAACTTGAAAAAATCAAAGCAAGCGAATTACTCTTAGGTATTGGTAGAATATTATAATCAACAAGTAAGCAACTTACAAAGGCAGTGAAATACTTTATGGTGTAAAATGTCAACCTCAGGATCGAAACCCAAGCTCTAAAAAAATGATGATATAGAGTAAAGTCAGCCAGATGTTCGAAAAATAAATAATTAAAGTTTCGCTCAAATTTATCTATTTTAGTCAAAAAGATACCTGTTATAAGTAAAAAACCCTAGTTCATTTTCATTGCGATGACTCACATATTGGCCGATATATTCGGTACAAAGTTACCCGCAGGTTCGACTTATATTAGGTGTATTGGGGTAAAGGGAAGTATTGGTCCGATTTAACCCATTTGAAACATGCAACCATACCATTGTCAGAGAAGTACTATCTCTAAATCTTAGTTTTGAACAGTACCGTTATATGCGAAGTGAACGGGGTTTTCATCCGGTTTTTATCTATTTTAAAACTATCAGAAAGAGTTTTTGTGTTATTCAAGGTGGACGAGTTTGGTGTTTATACCTTTAGTGGTTTAGAAAATATATATATTAAGCTTATTCGAAGGCGGGGCCACTCCCACTTTCTAAAAAACTATGCATACCAAGTTTCACCAAGATATCTTATTTTTGTATACATATATACTTTTTTTTATATAATACACTCAAATATCAAATATGTTATCATATACTGTCGATTGGTATATTTTTGTTAATATATTATATATGAACAGTTAGAACAGATTTGATGCATTTTCTTTACAGAGAACAASGTCGGTGCGAGTTACGACTGGCCAAAAGAGGACTATGCACTTTATGCAGCAGCACCGCACCGTTGGAAGGGGCCAATTTATGAAACCAAACGCGAGGAAGGAGCACGAAGAGGTTTGGGCTGAAGTTGCTGCAGAATTAAATGCATTGGGAGGGTCCCACAAGTCCCCTAATCAGTAGAAAAAGGTAAAACTAAAATATTCTTGTGTATATCATTACAATTTACATATGTGTGTTGGTTTTTTTTAGTGTTGGATAGACTGGAAATCGGCAGTCAAGAAGCTGCACAATGTCCACAGAGTGTTCGCCAGACGAACTGGAAATGTGCCGTTGCAGGAAGGTTCAAAACGGTTGGATGCCATGGACCGGGAAATTCTGGAGATTTTTTCCAGCGACATGGTGGACGGTGATRGGCTCACTCCCGAAATTGGTTTGTCGGTGAGTGATAATAAAATTGGTGTATATTGCAGACAACTGCTGAAATAGTCGATGTTACCATTGAGGATGAGGGTGATGCTACTATGTTACGTAAGTAACATATTACAAAACTAAAAACTAAGCTATTTAGTGATCCCTTCGGAATTCTAGGCAAACGTGGACAGTTTGGACATCTTCGAAGTGGAGGCACTTGAAGAGGTTGCAATGGGTCAGGTGCTTGAGGTTGTGCCAAACAAACAGCAACCCAAACAGCGCACAAACCAAAGCTGTGTGGAAGAGGCGAGCAGTCTCATTGAAAATCACCATACGCAGCTGACAGAGATTTTGGAGAGACAACACAAGGAGCACATGGGTGTTTTGAATAGAATTCATGATACACTGAGAGCTCTGCTGGAAACCATGACGGGAGGTAACAATTTGCGATAAAATTTGTACATTCTTTAAAACTCATAAATATTCCTTTTCTTCTAGCGACTGTTGCATAAGGAGTAGGCACAGCTCGTAACTAAGCGTTTGCGGTACCTATGACACCATATATTTTTTAAGCAGGAGGACTTCCTCTTTCCAACGGTACCTTCAAATCCCGACGCCAAAGAAATCGGAATTGTACCCTTCTCCAGCTGAAAAATATGCAAAAAAATTTTGCTAAGAACTTTATTTTGTAAAATATTCTCGAATTAAATTACAAAAATTTTTATTAATAACAGTTTGTATTTCCCAATGTTTCACTAAATTTTTTCGCATTGTTCACTTTGTATATTTAAATATACGGTAAATGTTCAGGAGAGCGGCTTTTCCGAAAACGTGCACCAATTTTCACGAGAAATTTCTTTTTTAAATATTATATTCATTGGTATGGACCAAGGTTTTTCGTATGTACACCAATAGCAGTAGCTGCTTCAAACGGGGTTACATAGTCCCGCTCCNATAAATATTCATTGGTTGGGGCCAAGGCTTTGCGTATGTACACCAATAACAGTAGCTGCTTCAAACCGGGTTACATAGTCCCGCTCCAATTGTTGTTGCATTGAAATCTATTCCCGGAAGGACAGTAATGTTCACTACAATCGACTGTTATTATAATATATGTATAATATTTGAATAAAACACGAGGAACTGCAATTGATGTGACCTATCGTCACAACTTTATTTCTAGCACTGATCCAAATCCGCAAAGAGCGGCAATTATATGCYTGCTTGTGCAGTAGGCACATGTTCAAAAATGCAATGATAATAACTGCACATCAATAGGCAATATGCTTTGTGTAGGTGCGAAAAGATGCGCTTATACTTAATATGTAGATATGTATGTAAACTAATTAGGATTTCGGGAATAGAGCATATGCTAGCGGTGTGCATATATACAGTAGGCAGCAGTCAGCGTCGCTAACATATGTATGTACATGCTAGGCAGTCAATAGCTGAATGCAAAGAACAAAAGAAAGAAGAAATAGCGCTACAATCAGGCGATATTTATCCCATAGGCGTAGCGTATGCCAACTTAGATGGGGGATTATACCCTATACGATATTTCAATCTCGAACATCCTCCCCGGCTGAACCCTCGCGGTTCAKAATTTGTTCGTGTATTCCGGTTAGTCTTACCACCTTTTGTACAGGACGTTGACAGTGGCGTTTGACGTACATGCCATCATTCGTCAACCGATCTCCATTGTATTCTATCGTAATGACGCGGGCAAGACCATCGCTGCCAGGATGGGTGTCCGTGATACGACCCATGKGCCAACAGGCGGGTGGCAAGTTCTCGTTTCTAATAAGTACGGAATCTCCTTTTTGGAGGTTTGGTTCAGGCCTCATCCCCTTGCTACGGGCCTGAAGCGAATTCAGATACTCATTTTGCCAGCGTTTCCAAAATTGTTCGAGCATTACTTGCAAGCGCTGCCAATAATGGAGGCGGTTGTACGGTATATCTGGTAATGGTGGCTCAGGACGGCAATTGATCGTGAATTTAGACAAGCTTCAATCCTTGTCAATAGCGTTAAAAGCTCATGATATCGCAATAACTGTTGSCCCATAATGCGAAGTAAATGCTTCTTGGCCGAGCGCACCGCTGCTTCCCAGCTGCCGCCATGATGTGGCGCAGCGGGGGTAATGAACTTTCATTGAGTACCAACATGAGCTACGTGCTGTTGCGCGTATGAGGTTACCCATTCCTTAACATCTTCACGCATTTGTCTATCAGCGCCTACAAACTGGGTGCCGTTGTCGCTGAAGAGCTTGGCACAAATACCGCGGCGACTAATAAATCGGTCGTAAACRTCTATGAAGGATCTTGTACTCAAATCCTCAGCAAGTTCTATATGGACTGCTCGTGAGGCCATACAGACGAATATAGCAGCATATGTCTTAGATGTTGTAGTTGACTTTCTGTTACCAATGCGGACATGAAACGGACCACAATAATCTAGGCCGCTGTTTGAAAAAACTGGTGCCGCAAGTACCCGTTCACGGGGTAACGAAGCCATTTGTTGATTCTGGAGATTTCGTTGATGTCTCCGACACACGCTACATTTCCATATGTACGCCTTTACTTGCGAGCGCGCGTGAATGATCCAAAACCGTCGTCGTAGGTATTGTAACATTTGCTGGATACCACCATGAAGACATCGTCTATGGGAATCGGCAATTAATAAGTTAGCAAAWGATCCCCTGGGAATAATCATTGGATGTCGTTGTTCGTTAGATATTTCTGCATTCGGGAGACGCCCGCCGACTCGCAAAATGCCTTCAGGATCCACATATGGATTTAAGGCTAACAGGTGGTTTCGACTGTCTAACCTGGAATTTGATTTCAGAGCATTAATTT